AGGCACACTTGCCGCGAACGTGTCTGTTGTTCACTTCGCATTCTGAACACAGCAGGTGTGGAAAGTGGCGTGAAGAGTCGAAAAAAAAAAGCGCTTCGCAGGAGAGGTTGCTCGTCTATGCTAAGCAGTCAGCCCCGCGAGGCAGCGAAGAGCTCACATGAATTTTACATCGTGTTTCGTAGTTTCATTTGATTACTGCAGTCGCTTAGGCCTTCAAATCACAGTGGTAACCATATGTACCACATGTTCTAATGTTTAAAATTCTCCATTTTGCCTGCAGAGTTTATTTGTTTTGCATGACTTTAATATTAAACCAATACATAAAAAATATTAACCGGCTTTGTAATGGAAATGGTGAAGTAAGAAGTGAATTTTTAATATTATTCGATATATTTTAGTATTCAACTGCTTTATTCATATCTGTAGGTCAGTATGTATTCGAAAGGTCGTGCAGCCAACTACCTTAACACAAGTATTCTTGGTTTGCTTCTGCCTTCCAACAAATGCTGAGAATGAAGAAAGTCGTCTTCTGGGTTTAGGCACCGTGTATTCTTCGTTTTGGCCGACGTTTCGGAGGAACGTAGCGCCTCCATCTTCAGAGCAGTTGAATGGCTGGAATGCGGAGAGCAGTAGCTGTGGTGATAGGATGTGAAAGGTGCTGCTTATATACGAAGTAGGCAGGGGGGGTTAGGGAGAACGGACCAATGGGAGCTGAGAACTTTACAAGTTCCAGGTTCCTACTGCATAATGCTTATGCAGGAACACCTCCCCCCCGCCCCCAGATTTAAGTTCGTCAAAAAACCCCCTTGTTATGGAGGCCACGGAATTATTTTTCGAAATTATGCTTTCCATCATTAAACAAAACATGAAGCAAGAACTTCCTATATATTTAAGTCTTCACTTTGATTCTGACTTTATCAGAGGGACGAACGAGGGACTCCTGGGAGCCTGCTATGCTCCTTCTTTACGCTAAGGAACACGTCACTTTCTTCTTCCATAATTTTCCTTATTCACCAACTGTTCCAATAACCTGGCTTACCTCTTCCTTTCACGCTTGATGTGCTTGAGACGACAACATATATTACACACACACACACACACACACATACGAGTATATCCATTTTGACGTAACCCTCCGGCGCCAACACTTTGAACTGTAAAACAGAGGACTCGTGTTTAGACTCAAAGGATATGTTTGGCCAAGTCACTTTCATTCCCTTACTTCAGTGGTAATATAGATCTTCTCATACTTGCTAAATCATTATTATTATTATTATTATTATTATTATTATTATTATTGTTGAGTCAGTGTATACTTACGCAGCTATCTCTTATGCGATTAATTTCTTTATTTTGTGACGTACAACTTGCGTGTATTATGTGTCCGTGTGTCTATCTATATGTTCTCGTTACACCAAATTCGAATCTGGAGGGACTGAGGAGAACATTTCTGAAATATAATTATTTTATTTTGGATTACTTTCATCCGGACACTCTGTATATCAGTTAAACCAGTTTGAAGTAGACAATGGGACCTTAATAAGAGAGCAACAGAAAAAATAACAGATGTTAGTGAAGCGAAGATTGTTGTTATGGAAAATCATTTTGTAAGAGAATAGCGTATTGAATTAAAAATTAATAGTATTTTTTTATCCATTCGAAGTCTTTTGTGACTTACAACTTCAGAGAACTTTTTCTTTTTTTGCAAAAGTGATATAAACACTTTTGTGGTCCAAATTTGAGTGCCAACTGATCCCAAAATATCGTGCTCCAATATGATATAGCTTTGTCAATCTATATGACGTTTTAACTACAAGCTCTATTCTGCATGAATACATTTTTTCTTACGTAGCTTGCTTGGCTTACAAATTACCCCCAATTTCTTTATTTAAAATGTTGTGCTCCTATCGAAGTTTCTTTTATATATATATATATATGGTCTACTCAGCCTTGAATTATGAAGTTTTCTTCATTGTACGCTGAAATATATTTTATGAAATGTCCATGCAGATATGATTAAGTGGGTCAATTGTCACAAGCTATAAATATTAATGCACGCATGCGTAGCGAGTAGTCGTCCAGAGTTTCAGTAGTTCATGAAGTAGTGTTTTCCATTCCCATTTTAATAACTAAAACAATCATATTTATTTGCTGATGCCACTGCAAGTATATGAGCAAATGGCAGTGAAACCGACTGATCATCGCTTTCAGATTACAAGTTCATTAAGGTATGCGTTTTTAATTAATGATAGTTACTATATATATTTGCAAATTCTGTACAAAGTTAGAACTAATTGGGTGGGATATACAGGAAACGTGAATTTTAACTTCAGCTATTACAGTATTGGAATACTGAATCCTAATGAAGGTGAAAGTAGTTACGAGTAATATTTTGCAGAGGCTTTCAGCCTACTGTTAAAGTCTTGAAGATCTTAATTTAGATGGGAGCAAACATATCGACACAAATAATATTTGTATATTCACTATATATGTATATATAAACATGTATTATTACGAGAGACCGCTTACTGAATGACTAGAACGGACAATTTTTGTGTAAAGACAAAGTATTTTTTTTTCCTCTGGCGCTACAGCCCAAATTTGGGCCTAGGCCTACCTCCATGAAGCTCTCCGTTTCACTTCGGTTTACTAGATCTTAAACATTCGGTAGGACTCCTTGGGCGGGTGATCAGCTCGTCGCAAGGCCTCTACCTGTACACAAACACAGAAAAACGCACATACACAAACACTAAACATCCATGCCCTGAGTAGGATTCGAACCCACGATCCCGGCTTCCGAAAGAGCGAAGACACTGCATGCCTTAAACCGCTCGGCTACCGTGACCGGCAAAGGCAAAGTATTACCTGTGCTAAATTAAACATCACGCCATGAAGACGTATGATGAGTGGAAGTTTGCCTCCACGCGTTGTTACTCTGTAATAGATGGGCGTGAATAGTTAGTTGGCTTCACGTTCAGGCTGCTTTCCTGCTGGGAAAAGAATCCTTGATGCCCTTTGGATATGAGGCTGAGTGATCTTAAAGAGCCGGTTTAAACCCAATGGAGAAGATAAGGATCGCTCCCTCTGCTGGGAATCGAACCCAGCTTCCTCAGTCTTCCAACCTGTGGCTTAGTGACTACACTGACTGAGCTATCCAAGTCCATCAGTAGTGTGTCAAGAAATGTATCGCACTAAGTTAAACAGTGTAGTAACTAAGTTCTGAACAAAAACTGATAGCCTAATTTCCTTTGGTATGACACTGACCGCATAGAACACGACGCCTCCAACAATTTTTCGTTGTAGTGGCATCTTGTTTACGAAGCCGTTTCCTAGCAACGATAGGAGGATACACACACCCACAGCCTGTCTTTTGTTACGGCACGGATCGCATGGAAATAGAGGCGTCCTACAGTTCTTTTATTGTTGCATATATTTATTGCCGTGGAAAAATATTTGCCAAGCCGTTGCCTAGCAACGATAGGTTGGAGGCTAATAGAGACACAGAGAGTGATGGGAGAGATTTATGAAGTACGCCGTTGAGATGGGTTCAGGTGCCATGAGATGCGTACCAAGTTTCATATTGATTGATTCGGGCATTCAAAAGTTTATGAGGGGGGGATACACGGGGAGACAGACACACAGAGTGCAAGGTGATCTCATAAGTCTATGTTTATTTTTAGCTTACTTTCCTTATTTTGAAAAAATAATGAACGTAAGCATATGAGATCATCTGGCTGTCTCTATGTCTGTGAATCCATCCATATTAACGTTTGAATGCCTGAACCTGTCTTTATGAAAGCTGGTACGCACATGAAGGCATCTGAGCCAATCTACGTGTAGACGGCGTACTTTTAAATCCATCACATCATTTTCTGTGTCTGTATTTGTATCCACCATTTCCTTGCTAGGTAATACCTCGGTAAACACGTTTCCGCAACAGTGAATACACTCAACAATAGAATAATTGTTGCACGCGTATGTCTGTGTGTCTGTTTTTGTATCTCTTTATCACTGCTAGGTAACGACTCGATGAAGACCTTCCCGCTGCAACGAAGAATTGTTGGACGCTTCGTTTTCTATACAGTCTATGTCCTGTCAAACAAAAGTAGACGATTACTTCTACCTTGTTTCAAATGACGAAATTAGTATAATAAAAATATACATTTCTGGATTATTGACATAGGAATTTCAGCTTCTATTCTCTATCAGAATGAGGCAACGAAGTAACTATTAACGGAATCATTTAAGGAGAATAAAAGGGGAAATCTCCGTTTCGTTAATTGAAAAGCAAATATCTAATTAAATAGCGCAATATGTAAAAATTGTGCGAGTATTTTATTCAGACTGTCGGTAAATTAAATTGGTATTGATACTAATAAACTGACATACAGTAATTAGTCTACGTTACTGGCGTTCATCAGCCGATATGTCCACCATCTGCTCATAGTTTCCAGTTTCTTGCCAATTGTCTTTTATTTTATCGTACCATTTGATACCCTAGTTATCGTTAAATAAACAATGAATATAAAAATAAGTGTAAAACCCTTGTGATCATATTTTTAAAACACTGACTACCTGCTGCTTGTCCGCCGCTGCTCCTTACACTGAGCCAGTGAACCTACTCTGTTTCTGTCTCTAAATTGTAATATTATCTTACCATATACGCCTAGATGCCGGTCACGGTAGCCGAGCGGTCTCAGACGTGCACTGTCTTTGCTCGCTCGGAAGCCGGGATCGTGGGTTCGAATCGCACTCAGGGCATGGATGTTTATGTGCGTTTTTCTGTGTTTATGTGCAGGTAGAGGCCTTGCGACGAGCTGATCACTCGCCCAAGGAGTCCTACCATATGTGTAAGATCCAGAAAAACCGAAGTGAACAGAGAAGTTCACTGGGGCTGTAGTGCCAAAAAAAAAAAATACGCCTAGATAGTCCGAGCTTTCTCTTGATTGAGTATGATGTGCTGCTGCATGATTGCTAATATTGGAATATTTGTTGTACAGGTTCTAGCGGAACGGGTGTCGGCCCAGAACACAACGCTAGTGCTGTCTCTAGAGGATGACCACAGGGAGTACCTTGATGAGCTGGAGCTCGAGCTGGAACAGGTACATACTCGTACAGTGTGCTTGACGATAGCTATTAGCTATAGACGTGGAATTTAGGCATGTGCTGATGTGTAGTCTCTGTAGAATTCGAAGAAATGGAACAACTGCAGGCACTTGTTAGCTGTAGAATTGGTGTATGTAGTCCTGTTTTGTGTTTTATTAGGATCATTGTTAGCTGTAGAAATGGGATATCTTGATAGATCACTATATTCAAGTTTTTGCTTTCCATAAAAATATTTTTACAAGCTTAGCTTGCCTGATTATGTTTTATATTGTTTAGCGATGCTTTACGGCTGCATAGGATTGTAGAGTTTATCGTGGGAGGATTATAGCGAATGCTTTATTGAGAAGGATCTTGAAGGAAACGATTGTAAGCTGTTAAAGACATTTCTCAGTATTCATCTTACAGGACTGAAAAAAAAACACATAAGCATCAGCAAGGACAACCGGATTTGGGCCGAAAATGAAATGTGCAGAATCTATTTCGTCCTTATTCGCCTTTAAAACTCCAGATATTATGTTGTTAATAATTATTTATATTATTCCTCTTATATCCTTTTCAAAGACGAGCTACTTTATACACGTTTTCCATGGCTGTTACATGGTACACAAAGTGAGACACAGACGAATATTCGAGATTTATATGAATTGCGTCGAACCTCCCGTTGTAGGATGAGTGGAATACGGTTAATTCTTATTCCTTTAACAGTTTGAAGCCCCAGATTCGGCTAAATAACATTTAGAAATTCAGTCCCTACCTCACAGTAAACGTTCTGTGTGTCAGTTATAAATACCGGGTTAAAATATCGGTTAATGCTGTTTAAGAAAATAATCGCTGTTTATTATAAGAATAATACGTAACACATAAATGTAATCTGTGAGTAAAATATAGAGCTTTTTAAACAATAAAACAGATGATACATATAGTAAACCATTGTGATTTAAAGGGCTAAGCATGGTCATTAATTTGCTAGCCTCGGGCGGAACAAAAATATCCACAAGTAGTCAGAATGATTCATTTGTGGGCAGTAATTTCCTTCTGAGCCATCCCTAACAAATGTGCCCATACAAGAGCCTTCGTCATCTCCCAGGGGCACTGTTTCTCACACCTTTTATATCGCTGATTGTTGAAACTGTTCATTTACAGAAGCGTGTGAATTAATTGTCAAGCTTCAAAGCGCTCTTAAGAATTGTTGTATTGGGCAGTCGCTCCCACACAGACAAAGTGAAGAAGCGGCAGTTTTCTTTACCGGCTACAGCTATTTTCAAAAACACCCACCACTAATTACTTGAGGAATTCTCTTGTGTGCTCATAGAAGTGTAACAGAGACTTGAAATACACATACAGCTCAAGGTCTTTGTTAAAGTGGGTCATTAAAATCAAAACAGTAATTTACAAGTTGCTACCGATGTCACAGAATGTTATGTACACTATTAATCTTTTATGTTGGCTCCGCCCGAGCAGGATGGCCAAGTAGTACAGGCAGGCAGTTCGAATCTGAGCTACATCTAATTCCTACTCGTAATTATCGGCACGCCGGTCACGGTAGCCCAGCGGTCTAAGGCATGTACTGTCTTCGCTCGCTTGGAAACCGGGATCGTGGGTTCGAATCCCACTCAGGGCATGGATGTTTAGTTTGTGTTTGTGTACANTAATTGGCCTTGCGGCTGTTGACTCGGCACATTAATAATAAAGAATTGAATTGAATTGAATTGAATTATTATTATTATTATTTAAACTGCAAGTGGGTTTCTACCCGGTGGCAGTGGTACTACAGTAAGACACAACACACAAATAACACACATCACACAAAATAACACAACATACTCAAAACAAAGCAAGCAAAACTACGCAAATAATAAAGACACACCACACACAATGAATACAACATATTATGTACCAGAAGGTGAAAGCTGCAATTTTCTCCAAAATGTCGGTAACAACCTACCAAATTACAGAGGAGTATTCTTTTAAAAGGTTATAGAAACAACCTTGTTTACATACAATTTTCCGTCAATAATGCAACTGTTTATTTCTTCATTCACATTTGCTTTCGCTATTAACCAAAATGTTTCGGCCCCAAATGGCCATCTTCAGGTGTCCCACTATACGAAACCTGCTACACTACACTGAATATTGTCCATTCCACACGTGCGTAACTGAATATTTCGTAATTAAAATGTTACAATTGAACTCAATTCTTGTGCTTTAAGTCTTACATGTTACAGTTCACTAAATTTAAAATCAATTAAAAATCGTTAACAGTTTTAATTATATAAAACTCTTAATTCCAACTCATAAGGGGCGTCGTCCACTTGTCTAAGCAATATACTCTACTTCTCTTGTTTATATCGCAGTTGCTTGCCTTTTCCATATGCAAGCCCGTTATAGTTTGTCTGCAGTTTCCCCCCATGCTTGTCCGCTGTTCCCACAAGCAGCGTATGGTGTTGTCTTCGCGTGTACAGACGTTGGGACACCTGAGGATGGCCTATTGGGGCCGAAACATGTTGTGTTAATTCCCCCCCCCCTGGCACTACAGCCCCAGTGGGTCTAGGCTTACCCCCATGAACTTCTCCGCTCACTTCGGTTTTTCTAGATCTTACACATTCGGTGGGACTCCTTGGGTGGGTGATCAGCTCGTCGCAAGGCCTCTACCTGTACACAAACACAGAAAAACGCACACACAAAGTAAACATCCATGCCCTGAGTGGGATTCGAACCCACGATCCCGGGTTTCCAAGCGAGCGAAGACAGTCATTGTGTTACTAGCGAAGTAAATATGAATAAAGAAATAAATAGTTCATTATTGACGGAAAATTATATGTAAACAAGGTTGAATATAGCAATGCAACAGGATGCTTATATAAAAGATTGGCTATATAAAGTTTATCCGAAATGTTTTTGCTATTTATGTTGATGATAACGGGTGTTTCAGCTCTTCCGGCAGGAATAGGATTGTCTTTAGGTGTGATGAAGGTATGAGAGGCTGCAGTATGATCGTACAAGAGGTCCCAAACCCTTAAACTGCTCTCGGACTCCGGGAAACGTCGCTGCGCTAGTGTCTCTCTGTGTGTAATTAATTAAAGCGGAACAGGAGAATTCTTGGAAGGATTAGTCGAGAATTAAATCAGTTTCGGTGCTATAATATGCCTGCTAACGCGTTTATCCAATTCTTAGCCATTATATTCTAAATTTAGTGCTGTTAGTAATTACGAATATTATTATAATCATGCATTTTTATGTGTAAATACTATATAACTGTTGTTGTATAGTGAAAATTACGAGCATAAATACGTTCCTAATTATAGAGTAACTAATTAGTTAAATTTCTGGTATCAGGCATGTAACCCAAACATTAATCCCACTGTATGCAGACGACAGCCATTTGGTCCCATTCTGACGAGGTTCAGTTCAGTTTACGTTGCGCCAGTCTGTTGGTCCCTAAGATCAATTTTAAAACTGTTCTCAGCTCTGAAGTGGTCGATCGCTATGCATGTATTGGTTTCTCGTCTGTTGCTGGCCTACACTTGGGTTTCTCTACACAGCTTCTGCATTCCGCACTTAAGTTTTCGTACGTCAGAAAATTTAAGGAGGGGGTTATTTGGGTATATTAAAAGGGTGAAAGAGACTACATCTCATAGAAACTCTTTAAGTTATGGTTGTCGAGAAGTAATGAATATTTCAGAACATAAATACCGAGTTATCAAATTATATTTTGATTGATTCATATTAAGGAGCACGCGGTAGCGTACTTGGTTGAAGCACTATGTTACAAGCCGGAAGGTCTCGGGTTCAAGTCCCGATGAGATCATTAGATTTTTTCAGTGGACCTAATCCTTCCATCCTGGGGTCGACTCAGCCTCTAACAGAAATGAGTACCAGGAATTAATTAAATAATTTTACTGGGGAGTAAAACGCGCCTGGCGCGTAAGGCTGAAAATTTTACCGCCAGCTTTGAGCCGATTGTCTAGATAATGTGGGACCCTCAACGACTCATAATCCTATGGGCCTTCACGGCCTGTTACAGGGAAAGCTTTACTTTTTTTGATTAATATTAAACCATGGGTTATATATCTCGAAATTCACATTGACAATAATTGAATTTTACTGACATAATAGTTGCCAATGATAAAGTTTTATTTTCATTAATCCTATACACACTCAGTAGGGTTCCTTGGATGGGGAACAGCTAGTCGCAAGGCCGCTACCTACACACAGAACAACACAAATACAGAATAAACTCACACAGATATCCATGCATTGAGTGGGATTCGAACCCATGATATCAGTGTTCGATGGGGCTAAGACAGTTCATGCCTTAGACCGCACGCTCACTGTGACCGGTTCCTTGCTGAACAGATTGATGTAGCCGTAACGCTCTATACCTCTGTTCCGGGGTGTTCGGTTCGTATCTGTGGCAAATCCCAGGATAATATCTCGATCAGGCTACGACCGTTTCCTTCCAAATACTTTCCAATTAGTTATTCACAAATCATCCATCCATTCGACACTATTTAATTTAAAATGCTGACGGAATTGTATAGTAAACCACAAAAAGTTACCATTTTGTTAGTTAGCTAGAGTTAAAACAGACGAAATCAAGCACTCTGCTGTTAGCTTTGAAGTTGGCTCTACTTCTCCCCTGATATGGCTTATAATTTTGAATTTAAGGCTTCGTGCCGTCAGGTCAGGTTGAGCTGTGTGTGGTTCAGGTAAAGTAAATTAATCGTCATTATACCCGTCTGGAAAGTTTGCAATTAAAACTATAAATTATCAGTTAGTTCTCTCTTAAATCTCAGCAAACACTGTACGTGTGTGTGTGTAATCAATCCTGTGCGATGCACCGCAACCCTTCGTAGTGCGCAGTAAGCGTACGTTACACAACGCGATCCATTTCAAAAAAACATAAGCGAACAGCAAACATCGTATTTTGTATCCCTCTGAACGTAAAACATAAATGAGTGCTCGCAAAGCATGCTACAAGTGTCCAGCATTATTC